GGTTCTGTGCAATCCAGTGAGAGTCAGCCTGGATTAGGGGCATTCATAATCAGCATCTCCATCCTACAGCCTACCGAGGACACAGGACCATATATCCTTAAGACTTATGAAACACTTAGCTGAAATTAATTACCCAATTAATCTCCAAGGATGATAACCAAATGATTTATTTTTTAATTATCATTATTTATTAACAGACTAGAGGCCCAGTGCAAGAAATCCATGCACTGGGGGCGGGGGTCCCTCAGCCCCGTCTGCACCTTCTGCAGTCTGGGAGCCCTCGGGAGATATCTTACTGACAGCTTAGGCCCACACCCCATGAGAAGCGGGCCTAAGCCACCAGTTGGACATTCTTAGTATTGCCACGGAGGCAGGAGAGGTTTCTGGCTGAGGGGCGCTCCCCCTGTGGGAGCGCACTGACCACCAGGGGGTGGCTCCTGCATTGAGTGTCTGCCCCCTGGTGGTCAGTGCTCATCATAGTGACTGGTCGTTCCACTGTTTGGTCTATTTGCATATTAGCCTTTTATTATATAGGACTAGAGGCCTGGTGCACAAAATTCGTGCACTGGGGGGTAGGTGTCCCTCAGCCCAGCCTGCACCTTCTCCAATAGGGAACCCCGGTGGGATCGGGCCTAAACTGGCAGTCGGACATCCCTCTCACAATCCGGGACTGCTGGCTCTCAACCGCTCTCCTGCCTGCCTGCCTGATTGTCCCTAACCACTCCCCTGCCAGCCTGATCAATACCTAACTGCTTCCCTGCCGACCTGGTCACCCCCAACTGCCCTCCCCTGTTGGCCTGGTCGCCCCTAACTGTCCTCCCCTACCGGCCATCTTGTGGTGGCCATCTTTGACTACATGGGGGAGGCCATCTTGTGTGAGTGTGTGATGGTCAATTTGCATATTACCTCTTTATTATATAGGTCTAGTAGCTGGGTGCACGAAATTTGTGCACGGGGGAAAGGAGGTTCCCTCAGCTCAGCCTGCACCCTCTCCAATCGGGGATTCCTTGGGAGATGTCTGACCACCAGTTTAGGCCCAATCCTACAGGGTCAGACATTCCTTTCGCAATCTGGGACTGCTGGCTTCTAACCGTTCACCTGCCTGCCTGCCTGATTTCCCCTAACCCCTCTGCCTGCCTGACTGATCGCCCCCAACCACCCTCCCCTGCTGGCCTGATCTTGCCCCCAATTCTTGCATGGCAAGGGTGGGGGTGGAATTCCCTCAGCCCAGCCTGCACCCTCTCCAATCAGGGACCCCTTGGGGGATGTCCGACTGCCGGTTTAGGCACGATCCCAGACATCAGGCCTAAACCAGCAGTCGGACATCCCTCTGACAGCAATATATGTGTTTCTTTATTTAAACACTAGTGGCCTGGTGCACGAAATTTGTGCATGGGAGGCAGGGATTCCCTCAGCCTAGCCTGCACCCTCTCCAATCAGGGACCGCTGGCTCCTAACTGCTCAGCTGCCTGCCTGGCTGATCACCCCTAACTGTCCTCCCTTGCCAGCCTGATCTCGCCCCTAACTGCCCTCCCCTGCTGGCCTGATTGCCCCTAACTGCCTCTGCCTGCCTCATTGCCCCTAACTGCCCTCCCCTGACAGCCTGATCTCGCCCCCAATGGCCTTTCCCTGCTGGCCTGATCTCACCCCTAACTGCCTCTGCCTCGGCCTCCACCACCATGGCTTTTTCCAGATGGAAGTTGGATGTCCAGAAGATGGCT